ATGTTAGCCAGGCAGGGCTGTCTATGTTAGCCAGGCAGGGCTGTCTAATGCTCTCACCTGCCTAGAAAGGGAAAGTCCTACCACACCTCTGCCCAGGGACTGCTTTGCTTTGGCACCTGAGTTCGTTTATTAAATAGTTCCCATTTATTTCATTTAAAATTTGCATTGTAGAAAATTTGTAGATGCACAGCAAGTCTGAGCAGAAAGCACAGGGTTTCTATGTGTGCATATGGGTTGCTATGGGTAAACCCGCATTGGCCCCATCATTTTTGTCCCCACTGTGGGTAACCATGTGGAGTATGTGTTTGGCCAGTTTCAGCTACCTGTTTTAGGAGTCTTTTGACCTGCAGTTGAAACATAAGTCTCTGCTCCTTGGTCAGCATTAATTCTGGTCTTAACCAGTTGCCATAAAGTTCACTTACCCCTGAACTTTGGCCAGTCTAGCTTATTTCAGTGTTTGCATGTTCAGGTCTGGGCAGTTAAATTTAAGACAGCATTGGAACAGGAAATCAAGACCAGCTCTGGATGTGTAAACGCTGACATTGTCACGTTGAATCTGAAGTCTTTCAGATGCTGCTCACAGGCAGCCCGTTTCCCTTTTGACCACCCAGCCAAGGTCTGGCCTGCAGCCACCGCATCTGGGAAGCCCATTTGAACAAGCACCATCCTGCAACATTTTTTTTTCCTCCTTGGCACCATATCTGGCACCACACAGAAAGTCATTAACCCTCGCTGAGCATCTTTTCCCTTTTATGCAAGTAAGGACCCAAACATTTCCAGAGTGGCTTTGTAGGTAAAGGTAAATAATATAACCAAAGGTGTCCACAAAAGGCACAGTAGCTTTACAGTCAGTCTCAATGGACCCTTCCTCCTTGCCTACGCAGCAAAGTGTGTTTGGAGGATAGACGTACATGCAGTGTAAGAGATAAAACTGATTGAAAATGGGCATGGATTATCCCAGAGGAAATTATCTCAGGGGTAGCAAATCCTTCCAGGGCTTATGAAAAAAAGGAACAAAAATGTGTTGTGGAAGCAGATCAGTTGAAGGGAGGTAAAACTACTAGCAGAAAATAAAAGGAAATAGAGTGGTGGGGTGCTGTCTTTCCAGGGGTTATTTTGTTCATCTCTATCCACTTATGGATGTAGGAAAATAGAGCACAAAGTGATTGCTTAGCAACCTGAGCAGCCGGGCATATGGCTGAGCTTCCAGCCACAGCAGAAAGAGAACACGGTCTGTATTTGGTCAGACATCAAGGGGTAAGAGAATGGCTCTGGAGAGAGTGAGTGCAGAGGGAGCCATACCTCTGGGGACAAAGTTAAGACATGTCAGGGCTATCGAGAGTGGATAATGAGACACTATGTAATTCTGTCTGGAAACTGCGGAGGAGTCTGATAGTAAGGCACATTGACTATCTGGTGGTGGAGTATGGGATGGATCTTATCACAAGTGAGAAGCTAATAGAGAATTTTGAGCTGGTGTATCACTTGATGACTGAGCTATTTGAGCAGCAAAGACCACACGGAGAGAGGCTGGAGGCTAAAGAATGAGTCGGTTTCATTTGGTTGTTACAGTTATCCTGGTCTGGACAGACACGCTCTTGCCCCAAAAGGCAGCAGCAGGATGGGGCAGAAAGATTTATGGGCACATATGTCTGTGACCTCTCCTTGTCTTGACTTCTTTCCTAATGCTATTGCATGGCAGACTGTGGGTGTTTAAACGTCTCTATTAAACCGGACCAGCAGTCTCAAAAAACCCACTTAAAGGTGACAGAAGACAATAAAATTAGATCAATTCTGAAAGTTTCTTTGAGAATGATTGTAAGGGACTTGCAAACTGGAATGCCTGTGTCACCCCACACCATCAAAGAGGGATCTTTGCAAAGAATGCAAGGTGATGCCAAAGCTGGCACTGTTTCACTCAGAAAACACAGCATAGTTGTGCTGGCTGGCGAGGCTCATCTTGTGCAGTGTGCACCCTCAGGAATGCTGCTTTGAATGATGTTCCAAAAATGGGTGAGGGGATGGTATGGGTGAGGGGATGGCATTAGTGAGGGGACAGCATGGATGAGGGGATGGTATGGGTGAAGGGATGGTGTTAATGAGGGGACAGCATGGATGAGGGGATGGTATGGGTGAGGGGCTGGCATTAGTGAGGGGGCAGCATGGATGGGGATGGCATGGGTGAAGGCATAACATCGAGTTTTATGTTGAGGGCATGGACTCTGTCGGGAAAGGAGGGACAGAAATGGAGTTGGGAGACCTGCACCTGCCACCTTTACTTGTGGGACTGCACCCCTTCCTCTCTGGCCACGCCCAGAATAGGCTAAAGAGATGTGCCTGTCAACTTCTGACTGAAAGGCTTTGGGAGGGATGTGCTGGGGTGCTTCACATTCAGAAAAGGGCCCTTTGGGGTTTAGATGAGTTTGTATCACAAGACTCATGTGGTGAAAGCTTGGTTCCCAGTGTGACAACACTTACGGACGCAGCCTTGGGGGAGGAAAACTGCTAAGGCAGGTTCTGACTTCACCAGTGACAGGACTCATGACACGATGGAAACATGACCAGGTAGGGAGCTAATAGCCTGATGCTCCACCTTCACGGAACACAGGAATGAAGCGAGAGGAACACCTGACAGGACCCCGGACCTTTTGATGACTCCCGTTGTCCAACAGAGCGGGGCTCTAATGGGATGAAACACGTACCTCCTACATTTCAGATGGAGACTGTTTCCCTCCGTGAGCTCCGTGAGTGCCTAGCGAACCATTTTACAATCCTACCAACCAGTCCTCATGGTAAGAAGACAGTGAATCCTTGAACCCTTGTCAAAGCCTACCTCAAAAGCTTCGCAAGAAATTGACACAGAGTGGAGAGGAGGTAAGGAGACAAGGATGTTACTTGGTAGGTGACTAGAAGCTGGATTTTTGAAGTTCTAGAAACATGAGAAAATGGAGGGGTTGGGAGAATCCGCAAGTTAGGAAACCTGCACATTTGTTTATTCCCTGGGTTTCTGCATTGCATGGAAAGTGTGAAAGAAGAGATATTGTCACCTTGGTCCCCAACCGGTGTCACAATAGAGTTTTAGTGGACAAATGGCTCAAGCAACGCATGGCAGTTTTGAGTGGTGGGCTAGTATTGTCTCACCCTGCGGTTCCCCCACCCAGCACCGAGGCTCATTGCAGACATTTGAGAAAGATGACAGAGGTTCTCATTTGCTAACCGGCCTATGTGGGTGACAGTTTTGACGTTAGGGTCTTTCGAAGAAATGCCAGCTTTCAAGAGGGCCACAAGTTCAGCACCTTTTCCTGAAGTCCTGTCATAGTTTGGGTTTCATTGCTTTGAAGAGATGCCATGACGTGGCAACTCTCATAAAGAGAAACATCTAATTAGGGCTGGCTTGCTGTTTCAGAGATTTAGTCCATCATCATCATGGCAGGAAGCATGGCAGTGAGCCTGCAGACATGGTGCTGGACAAAGAGCTGTATCTTGACCCAAAGGCAGCAGAAGGAGACTGTGTGACACACTGGGTGCAGCTTGAACATAGGAGACCTTAAAGCCCGCCCCCACAATGACACACTTCCTCCAACAAGACCACATCTACTCCAATAAGGCTACAACTCTTAATAGTGACACTCCCCACAGGCCAAGTATTCAAACACATGTGTCTGTGGGGGTCATTTTTTTTCAAACCACCACAAGCCCCTTCTTTGTCTAGTGACTTACTAGATCATTATTGTCACAGATTCGGGGACGACTTTCAGTCCCCAATATATGTTATAGTATTATATATTATATATTATGTATAATTATATATTATGTAAAATTTATGTGTATATATATAAAACAATGAGACTCAAGGACAGACAGTCAGTAGCACAAGATGCTAAGTGGAAGAGAAAGGGCAGAAATCCAACTGCCTGCTCCAGAACCTGTTTGTTTGCCCTGTTGCAATAGTTAATGCTACAAAGCATAGCACTTACCCTGGGGAAAGGGACAACTTTATGAGGCACTCTGTGCATTGGTGACCTCATCTGACTCCTGTTTTTTTTTTTTTGTTCTGATACCACTTGCCTCCCACTGTTCAGCTGTCTCTTCCCGGCTCCTGCCTTCTTGGTAAAACTTGGCAGGCCTCTGGAATTGAATGTTTCTGCCGAGTCAAAAATATCTGTGTTAGGGACTCAGTTCACACAGATTGAGCCCTTTGCCCTGAATGTCCAGAAGGAAGGCCATGTCTCCAAAGGGTTTCTGGAGTTCAGCCAGCGTGACCTTTCAACAGGGAACAACCCTTTATGGAGGCAAGGGACAGGCTCGCCCACTGCTTTTCGACTGAAGCTGTCCAGTCACTTAAAAAAAAAAAGTAATAATTTTCCCACTCTCCACCCCTGCAACTGCTAAATCTCCAGATAGAAACAACCCCTCCAGGAACGCTACCCTCCAGGTTCTGAGAGCCCCTCCCTGGGTGCCCACTGCACGCATGCTCTCTTCCTTCAAGATGCTTGTTTACCATTTCAACTTCCCTACTGCTCACTCGTGGACATCCAGGTAAGGAAAGACTTTCGGACTCTCCGGCACTGCAAACTTCGAAGGTTACCCCATTTTATTTTTGTCAGTGTTTTGCGTGCATGTCTGCGCACAGCGTTCATGCCTGGTACCCCCTGAAGAGGGGGTTGTCGCCCCTGAAACTGGGTTACAGAGGACTGTGCAGCATCGTGTGGGGGGTTGGGAGCCAAACCCAGGTCTTCTTCAGGAACAGCCAGTACTTTTTACCACCGACCCATCTCTCCAGCCCCACGAGGCTACAAACTTTTAATAAGGGTTGAGTTTACAAGTGAATGGACATGGCCGGTTTAGGTCTTTTTGAGGAGTTTAAAAATAGTAAAGTTTCCATCTGGAGTACAGAGAGAGTCAGGCACCTTCCATCCCAGTTTCTAGAACCTTCTCACATCCCCTCAGGCCTCAGAGATGAATCTTTTCATAGCTGTTTGCAGCAACGATACCTGAAACACCTTGGGAAATAGATCTTTTTTTCTTTGAAGCAGGAAAACTGGAGAGGCAAAGGCTACTGGATTTGTGCCCATGCTTCAGGCTGGGAGCTGGTAGGTCATAGCAGGGAGCAAGGAATCCCATTCAATGCCATTTCTTTCAGGCAGGTATGTCTAAGGGTGTACGTGGTTGCTAAACCAGGACTCAGATAATTTCTCATGTTCTATAACGCATCCACTCGTGTGACCTTGAGTTCTTTCGAAAGTCTGGTGTAGAGGCAGCCCGAGCCAGCTCTGAGCTGCCACAGCACGGGGTGAGAAGGGAAATGCTGAAGAAGGAACTCTTATCTCATTATCCTCATTGCACAGGATAATGGGGTGTGCACGGAGCTGCCTGCCCTCATGCCCTGCTCAGCTTTCAGCCAAGTGTCTGCTCTCTGTGCCACTCCTGGGGCTAGGATGAGTCGGCAGCCACTGTAGCCATGAACATGGTATTCTCAGACTTGGGCTATTCTCTTTCGGGATCTTTCGTGATCAAGTCACCTCTGCATTGCACAGCTGTTTGGGATGGTGATGAAACTTCCTGCTCACAGCTCCAAGGTCCCCACAGGGTGCTGCCACCTTCATTTCCCCCCTCCTGTCAATCAGCTCTCCCTGTTTACACTTCAGCGGAGAATATACCCGGCAGTGAGGCAGCGTGGAGCTGGGGCCGGTGGCTGCACAGGCTGAAGGCTGAGGTCCTTGCTCTGGCTTGCATGTGGGATGTTTGTCATCTGCAGCCCATTTTCCTCACTTGAGCAATAAAAATAAGAATCCCTCGCCTTGCAGGCTGTTGTAGGGATGAAAGCTATGGTTCTCCACCCAAGCTGCACACCACAGTTCCCTGAGGAGCCTTATAAGGCCCATTCCTGGGCCCCACCCGGGAGTCAATTAATCCAGAGTCCTGGAAGAGTGAGTCTAGGAACCAGCATTTTACAGCTCCCCAGGTGACTTACTCCAAAGTGTACTCTTGTCACATGTCCGGAGGCAACCTATACAATCCAAAAGACACTCTGCTTTCAAACTCCAAAACCCCACAAATGACGTTATTCTTGTTGGGGTTATATTATCTTAACCTTCCTCTGAATAAGGGTCCGAGTGGGTCGAAACGCCCAAACTGCATATCTCAGCGCGTGCAGGTGATAACAGCTGCCTGACAGCTGCTCGGTGGAACCGCAGGGAGAGCGACCAGAAACAGCCATTACTGAGGATTCCATTTGCTTACATGTGTGTCTGTGCTCCCTCAGGTCCGTGGAGCATGGCCTCCGATGGGCACGTTTCATGCAATCTGGGTTGGTGCCAAGGAAAACATTTTCAGCTGAAGCTCAGTGCCTTCACTTCCAGTATTGTCGGTCTCATGGGAGGCAGCTGTCAACTTTTGCATCCCAAGTTACCTTTGCTCTGCAGTAAATAGATGAGTCAGAGCTGGTCCCAGCAGGTCAGCTAACAAACAGGCCTGAGCAATTGTGTCTGGCGACTTAGGCCATAGGGCAATGCCCCTGGTGCCGACGAGAGAGTCATAAAGTTGGGCAAATTACTCTTTATAGCTGTCTTAGTTTGCTTATTGTTTTGATGAGAGGGACTGGTTTAGGCTGTATACTGAGTTTAATTAAGGTGAAAGGTGAGCAAAGAGCCCTTCAGTATCCCAGGCAAAGAGTGATAATCAGAGCAATGGACAGCTCCTGAGCTCCACTTCAAATAATCGTGCCTTTCTTTCTCCCAACTGTGCTCTGAATGCTGACAGCGGGAGGAGCCACTTCCATGTATCATGATGTCGGAGGCCCCAATGCAGGACTATAAACATCTCTCAAATCTATGCACCTCTTGCCTCCAAACCCCCCAAAGAAGGACCAAAACCACTAGGAGACAACAGTTGAATGCCCAGCGGCCTCCACCTGCTACCAAGATCCATCCAAAGCAGCTGGAATGATCCTTCTAACAATCACATCAGGCCGTTTCACCGCCTGACTTAAAGCCCATTGGTAATTCTCCTCTCACCCTCCAACGTGGCCGCTAAGCCTGGGTTTGGCCTAGCTACTTCTGTCTTTCCAACTCTTCTGGCTGCCACACACGGGCAGGTGGGATGCCCCTCTCCCCTCAGCTCCAGGCTTCTGGGAATCATGCTCTCCACAAGCCTGAGGTGCCATCCTCCAGCATAGCTGCCTCTCAGAAGCCTTCAGTTCTCAGCTCTCACATTTCTCCCTTCAGGGAGTCTTCCCTTTCTCTACCTGCCAGCTCCCGACTCCTGAGCCCCACAGGCTGGGAGTCTCTGAATCTAACACTTCTCCATCTTCACTGCTTCTCCTTGTGACTCAGCAGGCTTTAAGCTCCATCGTGGAGGGACCTCACCCTTAGGCCATGAACCAGTATTTTATTTTATTTTTTTATTTTATTTTATTATTTAATTTAATTTATTTAATTTATTTTATTTTATTTTTAGACTAAGGTGGTAGATGCACTTGAAATGAACCCGGAAGTACTTATCAAAGCCAAGGGAAAAGCAGTGGCACTAGCCAAGGAGGAGAGACATATCAGGTTCCTCCTCGAGCCGAACAGCAGTGATCTGTAGAAAAGTCCACCACACGGTCAAGTCCCTAAAAGGTATGCCGTGTATCGTTGCATATTCTGTCACTGTGAAGTGCACATTTCACTGGCCATTCTTTTTTTATTTAAAGGCTAGTTTATTGACGAGCTGAGTAATTCAGAAGGAGCATAATAGTTGACAATTCTGGGGCACCTGCAGCATGTGCCAGCCAGCCATGACAATGCTGCAGGGCATATACTGTTATGGCCCTTAGTTTGTGGATAAGGGGACTTAATGGTTTAGGGAAATGAAGAAATTCCAATCTCAACAAGTACATGCTGAAGACCTCACAGTGCCCTCCTGAATGGTGAGGTTATTGCCAATGCCTCGGCCCAGCAGGGCGGGTCTTGATTTCTCACTTCCTCGAATTATTTCTACAGAGATTATTAAACTATCAGTGACAAGCTAATTGTGGTGGAGAGCGACTACATAGGTCTTTTCTCACGGATGGCGTGGTGTTCAGCCTAAAAGCTGAACACTTCCCTAAAATTCTGGCCCCGTGGCTTTCTACACAAAACTGCCTTGCCTCTGAACAGGTCTGTGATGGGGGTTGATATCAATTGTGCAGCTGCCATGTTTGCTTGGCAAGTGGATTCAAGATACCAACAGCACCTCCTGTTTCCACACCAGCCTCCTGGCCAAGGACAGTATTCCTCTAGCTATAGAATTATTCAGTCGCTAAACATGGCAACAATTCTATTGTGAAGGAGTTTTTACCAACCTTTTGACCTGAGACATAGATCATTCTGTTACAAGGGGTTTAAAAATGTAGCAGGCATTCCCTACCTTTGAAAACTGCATGATTTTAGGGTGTTTCAGGTACAACTTATGAATACTTACTGTTGCTGTGCCCATTTTACAGATGACAGGTGAAAAACCAAACCTATCAGGGTGGCTTATTTTTAAGTGTCAAAACTATCAAATGCTCCGTGGCAATAAGCTAATAGAGCTGAGCTATACACCTACTCAACTCAGGCAACTTGCCAGAAGCTTAATGGCTTCCTGCTAAACTACTGTGCTTAACTCTTCTTTACTTCCTGGTACCATTTTTTTTAAGCCAAACCATTGTCTCTGCTAGGCTTCTAATCATGACTGTTTTTTTATTTGTTTGTTTGTCATGTTTTTATGTTGTTTTTTTTTTGTATTTTTTTTTTTTGCTCATATCTCAAACATATAATCAACACTGATTAATTAGGCTATAGTTTTCTGCATCTTTCAATTTTCGTTTCACATATCCTAAAGTACACACACACTGAATTCAGACTCAGGAATTCTGGTGCATTCTGTCTTTTCCTTTTTAAAAGATCAAATTGTTCTCTCATGCAGTCACCATGAAGCATCTTTCACGGGGCCCTCAATCAATGAACTCATAAGCCTCTTTCGAAACTAGGGGACTTTCTGAAGAGCAGTGTCCCTGATGCATGCAGACTTAGGGGAAAGGTCCTATGGACAGCTAGTTAGGTGGTGTCTGTTGCTTCTCTTCATTGAAGCCATGTCTGCAACCTCTTTAGAAATATTTTATTTGGTCTTGGAAATTAACCACATGACACCTTGAGTCAGAACAATGCATCTCCTGTATCTCTTGGAGAAAAACAAACAAACAAACAAAAAAACAAAAACCAAAAACAATGCAGAATATCCTAAGATGGGATCTGTGGCCATGGTCGGGTAGGTCATTTGCAATGTCTCAAGCAGTGAGCCCTGGAAGCAGGAGACTTGGGCCTAATTTAGCCTCAGTCCTTGTTGTTCTTGTGACTCTGGCATACTAGCAGCTATTCCAGTTTTTGTTGTTGTTTGCTTGCTTTGTTTTTCTATCTTTCAAAATGAGCCCAACAATACTTGTTCCATCGAGATTCTTCTACAGGGAATCTACCGACACCACAGGAAAGCTGAGGTGAGGAGCACACTGGGGTAGAGGTGCTTACCCGAGGAGGGTTCTGGGCCTGACTTAAGAACACTCGGGAAAGGTCTAATCACCTTTAAGACTAGTTGTCGCCAAAGCCCATTGCTGGACCCCAGATGCCTGGATTTCCAGGCACTTAACAGAAAACAAGAAGCATCAAGTGAAGCATCAAGGCAATCAATATGGGGGAGGGGGCTGAAGGTGGTCAGAGACACACAAGCAGGCAGGAGTCTATACAGCTTGTCTTTTGTGCAGAAACTGTCTAACTCACTGCAGTAGCTGGATTAGACTCTAATGTTAGTTAAAGCAATTTTTCAAAGGCAAAGCTATTTAAAATCGAAAGGAATGAGGAGAAAGGCTCACAATTTGCTAACAGGACAGAACTATAAGCCATAGTGATGATAATGGAATCAAATCTGTCCCCCCAGGACAGTGACTGTTATGTGAACAAAGGGCAGAGAAAACACGGCCACAGTATTGTTGCTGAATAGCATTCCTGTAACCGAATCAAAAACATTATTTTCATGGGCCCTCTACCAAGGCAAAGGAATATTTTTGTTGCTCTAGGCTCAATTCTCTAGGGGTTTTTTTTATAAGAAGATTCTGTCGACAGGCATTTTTGTTTTCTGAAAATGAATGTCAAGGCACATGGAGAGAAGTGACGGTAACCTCCGGGGGCTGCATGAGTCTCAAACGCAATACTTGCAGAATCCTGCTCCTTCTCCCTTATGACTAGAGCTCTCCCCTATGTATCTCTAAAATGCTCAGAAACAAATATTTTATTTTATTTTTTGTTTTTTTCTGTAGTATCAGGTAGTGTCATGGTGGTGTCCCCATGTATCATGTGTACACACTGGCAAATGTGCGCACATATATACACGCAAAACACATATCCACAAACTAATGCAAAACAGTATGAACGAATCACACTTGCAGCTGATGAGGAGCTGTGCACACAAGGTGTCTTCATTCACCAAGTGCGATTTTGTCTCAAGAACTGGTCTCTGACTTGGACAGCAGTGGTGATGATCCAGGCCAATGACAAAAGTCCTCACACAGCACACCGAACTGCTGGAAGACAGTTCCACCGAAAGGGAGAAAGAAAGCATGAATTCAGAGTCTTCTAAAATTTAATCTCCGAGTTAGAACCCAAGCTGTGTTGCAGGATCTGAGTCTGAACCCTGCCGTTCCCTTGGGCCGCACCATTATTATTTATTATTATTATCACCGTTATTGATTTCACTCTGAACAACATTGATCAGGCTTTCTTCAGAAACAGACTTCAGGAGGTTTTTCTGTTGCAGCTGCCTGTCTTAAATTAGCCGAGGAGGAAGGTGTTGGTAGGAAAATGGTGTAGCAATGCAGAAAGGGAGAGTTTTAATAGACAGAGGCAAAAAGAGACTGAGTTTAAGGCTGGCAGGAGGTACATAGTGAGTTTCAGACCAGACCGGCCCATGCATTTCTCAAAAACAAAATGCAATACTATAAGGTTAGTAGAAATTATTTCATTCATAAAAAAGTAAAGTCTAGCCTGGAAAGTAGGTACCACAAGCAATTATTTGATAGCCTAACCAAAGAACGGCACACACACAGTAGCTTGCGTTTTTCTAAGATTAGCCCACAGTCACCACCGTTAACTGGGAAGCAGAAGGATCAACCACCTTCAAAAGAAACCTACGACACTGCATTTCCCTCAAAGACGGCCAATCCTTGTCCTCTGGCTCCATGGCATTAGATTTTGACTGGATGGATTTTGCTGCCACATCGTTAAAGCTGTTACTCACCCCGCCCCCGCCCCCGCCCCCACCCCACTTCAGACCTCTACACTGCCTCAGAAAACCAAATGATCAAGTTACCAGGCCAGAAAAAAAAAATGGTCTATTTTAAAAATAAGAACAGCTTCAAATGAACTAATTCCCTTGCTTTTCAGAAAGTGATGAGAAACAGCTTGCCATCGCCTGGAAGCATACGAGCTCAGAAATGGAATGTGGCTGTCGCTCAGGCCAGTGGCTTCCAGACATTCTCCAGACACTTGACAGTGGCAGAATTCTGTGCCAGGAGCTCCAGCCAGCCCTCCCATCCCTGGCCCCCAGCCCCATTCCTACCCACATTCTCACCTCTACACCCACCTGAACCCTATTCCTGCCCCACTCTTGTCTCCACTACTTTCTTCTCCCTATCCCCACACCCACTCCATCCCCACCCTCACCCCAACACCCACCCCCCACCTCCAGCCCCCACTCCTTGCACTGGAGGGTTGCATTTGCCTGCTTCCAAATGGACCCAACTTAAAGACAAATGGCCCAGCATGTTTGAGTGACTTTGCTCCTAGGCCCACAGACCTTAGGGATCATCTAGCAGTAACGTTTTTCACGCTCCTGCTCTTCCTACTGCTCCCTCAGATGTGCTGTCCATTCTAAATGGAGCCATTTCCTGTTCATCAGCGCGTGCACCTTGATTTGTGCACACCTGCCCCGCTTCCGCTGAGCTCATTGCTCCTCATCGTTTTCCATAACCGCATCCATGTGTAGCAGTCTAGGAGGTGGGTGTGGATAAAAGCCAGAGGCTGCTAGTTCTGAGGCTCCATGCTTGGTCCAGGCCTCCTGAGGGGTGAGAGGAAACTTACCTATAAGACATTCCTGGAACAATCTTGGGCTAGAACCCCTTAGGCTCCACATTTCTCCAGAGGAAGGTAAGAAGGAAAGACTTTGGGTCTGATTACCTTCTAACAAAACTCCATCTTTCTTCTGCTTTCTAACACTGCTTGGGATCCAGATATGAGGTTTACTTATTTTTATTTTCTGTGTGAGTGTGTGTGTGTCTGGTTCCGTTGGAGGCCAGAAGGGGGGGCTATACCCCTCAGAACTGGAGCTGCAGGTGATTGTGAGCCACCACGTGCACGCTGAGAACCTGTCCTGTGCACGAGCAACAAGCACTCTTTATCCTAGAATCAAACCACACATTCTCTGGGGTTAAGGATTTTGTACCTTGAATGAGGCTGTGTGTTCAACAAGATCCTGTGATAGTAAGATTATTTTCACTGTACAAAATTTTTTTAGCATCTCTTCAGCCAAGTCCCCATCCCAAAAGGTTGTCATGGAAGTGAGACTGATTAAATTATGTATTTCATTAATATTGTCGGAGGAAAACCAAATAGCTGTGATCAAAGTGTGGGCAGTGTCTGTGGAAAAAGTATATTTTCCTTTCTCTAGACAATAAACAGGATTCACCAAACAGAGAAAAAAAAAAAAAGTGCTACCCAGGTGGGCAGTGCCACTGAGGTGGGAAGTCTCAAGGCTCACCAAAGAAAGAATAGGTCTGCCCTGTGGTTTGCCAGAGAATCTTGGCCATGAAAGTTGGGGCTTACTAGAGACCCAGGGCAGCCTAGACTACAGAAGCTTTCGAGTCTTATAGTAGCGAAGCTGGACTCTATTCTATGTTCATTCCTAAAACAAGTCATTAGACTCCTACCAGGTGCTAGGCAGCAGTCATCACTGGGGATATAATTTTACGATTGCAATGGGGATGGGGAAGGGATTTAAAGTGTCCCAAGTGCTACTACAGATGTGTTAGAAATAGATAAGAAGCGGGCAGGTGCAATAAACTCTGTAGAGACTAGGAGAAACTTCAAGAAGGGGACTGAAGTGCTAAGAAATTAGGACTTTGGGGCCAGAGATGTGATTAGAGGTATATTTTCTGCAGATTTGACCCCTCACACTATCATGTGCTTCGGTTTGGAGGAATGGAGCAATAGGAGACAAGAGATCCACTTAAGAAGCCATTGCAAGGTCCGGGAGAGAGAAGATGAGAGTTAGGAAAGAAAGATTGAAGTGAAAGACATGGGTGGACTTGGCTGTTCCATGTGCGAGGAGGGTAATGAATACAGTGCATAATAACTACCCACAGCTACGGCTAATTCACACAATTAGCTGAGGATGCCAAACACAGGTCAATGTCTCTGCCAGTATACTGAAGTATTCCAAAATACTGATGTATTCCAGATGTTGGGACTGTTACAACTTCTTTTGTCTCTGTATTAATGAGCTGTCATATTATCCACTCAATCTTAAAGAAATAAATCCTCTAAGTATGGCCCTTTGAAGCACATCTCTTGTATTTTAACCAAGATCCGTCACCAATTCCCTAACCACACTCTTTGTTTCCAAAGCAACTAAATCTTTCCAGAGAAGATTAATGGGAGATAGGGTAGTAACTGTCAAATATTTGAAGATTTAATCCCAAGGTTTAGCTACAATTCCTTGTGTGAATGGAAGAACAAGCTTTTCTGCCTCTGACTCCCCAAGAGGGTTGTTACATAATTATCATAAAGCCAGTAAATCTTTCAATGTTTTATAGACCCTACCTCCATGTGCATTACAGCCCAGAGGTGAATTTAGCCCAGAGAAAGATGCTCTCCAGGAATTAACCTGAAGAGCAATGCTCAACATGGAACTGGAGGAAACCCAGAGAAGCAGCTAAGGCTGAGTGCACTCAGGGAAGCCTTTAGGCTCTGAGAATGTGAGACAAAGATGTTTCCTGAGGATACAGTAGGAAAAGGAAGCACATGGCTCATAGCTGGATTGGCCAATATAGTCTGTGCCTCAAATCGTAGAATTTGTAATAGCAGTTATTCAATAGCTGCTAATGGAGCTGAATTTCAAGAGACCATATTTTAGATGGATATAAAGGAAAATTTTTATAACATCAAGTGCTGTCTAATTCTAATGATGAGAGAAACCAAAATATTTCAGGGTATTTTTTCCTCCTCCCTCCCCTTCATCTTCTCCTTCATCATCATCATCATCATCATCATCATCATCATCATCATCATCATCATATAAGATCATAATCAAGATGACCAGTTCACAATGGAGACTGTTACAAAGGATGCATAATTCTAGATGCCAAGGAAATGATAGCTTCCGGTTACAATATTTTTCACTTGGCATTTTCTGACTTTACAATGGTGTAAAAGCAATACACATTCAATAGAAACCATTCCTGAATTTTTGAATCTGATCTTTTCCTCCACCGTGAGGTGTACCACTCAAACCACTCTCCTTAGTAACACAATAGCAGCATCTGATTAATTCTTATTAGGTTATAACTCTACTGTAAGTTGAAAAGATCTATATGAGAGAGGGGGAGACAAAGGAAGAGAGAGAGAGAGAGTGAATGAGTAAGAAACCAGAAAACAAGAATAGAAACTAGAGTAAAAACAAAAGCCCTCAAAGAGAATGACTTGCTCCAGTTGAAAACATCAAGGACTCCGCAGAAATAAACTTGACAAGTGGGAAACGTTGTAATACGATGTTATGGTCCAGGAATCTTCCTCTTTGCTGGCTAGTTTCCGTAGTACCAGAGGTGCTATGCAGATTGCTGAAGCGAGATGCCATTAGTAGTCCTACCCATCTGTGAATGCTCTGAGCTACATTAATGACTGCGATGACAATGGGTCCCATAGTGGCATGGATGATATGGCGGTACTCAACCATTTTCTGGGCCTATTTAAGGCCTGCTTCACAAGAGGAAATGCATGTCTTGTACTAGCTAAGAGCTCACAGTTGTGGAAGTCAGAAGCCCCAAAGGTGAACCTACTATTATCTTGCTAAATGGACATAGTATCACATCAAACTATCCTTTAAATTGGTGTCTCTGTATCCATAGATTAGCACAGCTCTCTGGCCTCATCAGAGAAGTTTCTTCATGCAGTGAACAATGGTTAATTCAGAAACTTGCAACTGGTCAAAAGCACACAGAATAAGTGTCTGTGGAATACTCAACCAGAATGGGACATCCATATTACACACACACACACACACACACACACACACACACACACACACACACACACACCTCAGTGATTATCACAGAAAAGGAAGCAGAAATATAAGGTCAGAGAGGATTGGCCCCAAATGGTGTCCTTCGAATAGGAGAGGACCACTGTCCTCATGAATATACATATATGAACTATATCATCTACACATATATTCATAAATCGATAGTCAATATCCCTGCATGTAGGGCGAAGGGCTTTGAAAGCCATTAGCTGAAGAGCTAGTGATAGTTGGTGGCTTCTGGAAGAGGGAGACTAAGTTTCCTTTAAGGGTGTGATCCCTGGTAGGTTGACCATGTTTCAGTAATGGTTTCACTGCCCATGAGTATAGGGACAACACAAACCAGAATCAACCCAGAAGGGGATGTCACAAAGTTGTGATGGGTGGGGTGGATCTGGAAGGAGTGGTGAAAAAATATGATCAAAATACATTGTATGAATGTATGAAATTTTCAAAGAATACAAAGCATTTCAAAAGATGGGAGTACGCACCTGTCATTAGTATGTCTTATCTGGAGCATAAAACACATAGAGCAGAAGGTTGGACTGTTCAGAGATCTAGTGGCAAAGTCTCTCCAGGGCACAGGCAAAGAGCTTGCTTCGGGTCTGAGTAGCTGTCTAAGATCCTGTTGCCATAAATGAGATCTGGGGGAGAGGCAGCCAGCATGCAAATGCAAAGATTATAAAGAGGAAGGAGTCAGGGGGACCAGCTGACAGATAATTCTCTGGGAAGACAGCCATGATTAAGGACGGAGTAAAGCAAATGTAAGAAACAGTGAAGAGCAAAGGAGGTCTTCAGAGGGGAGGTTGTGTATGGACAACCCATGATGAGCTTGTTCTACCAGAAAACACGGGGTTCAGAAAGGAACGCTACAAAACGCCCAATAAAAGAGCTAAGTAAAGTGAAACTGCTTTATTGTAGTTTGAGAATCTGTCCCCTATACCGGCTTCTCTCTCCGGTGTATTACAGACGGGTTAGTGTAGATACTGGTGGACGATACTGTACTGTGAGTAACGCTGATGGTAGCAAATACTGAACTATTTTATACAAATGAGTGAGGACTTGAGGTTACAGCTCCAGTGACCTCCCATGATCTACGTGCGTTCTGACAGGACTTTGTAAGCGGGAGATAACGGGAGTAGTGATTTGTCACAACCCACAGTACACCCGGGAGAGGCTATCACACGTGAGAACAAAGTATGCCCTTTATTGCATAAGTGGACATCAGGAGGATCAGTGGTTTAAAAGATTAAGGTGTGCAAATATCTTTGGATAGCATCAAAGTATTTAGTGAATCATCAAGATTACTGGGTCTGTTCCTCCCTAGGCCTCCTCTGTGCTTCAGTTCATCTGTCTGGCAACGATTTGGATGGGCCTGAACTTCAACCTCTTTTTGACACAAGAGTAAATGAATAATTGGAGTCATGTAGCAAATCGCCCTGGCTCTGAGTTCATCTGATTTCATCTGGTCTGTCTTCGATCCGCCCAGGAGAAAAATGGACTTTGGAGTCAAACAATCCTGGGCTTGAAGGTTGGTGCCCCAGTTAGACTGGAGAGCATGTGTACATTGACTGACCTGTCTGCACCCCTGTTTCTTCATTTCCAAACAGGGGGGAAAAAAAGATGTGAGATGAAGGTCAGGCTGTTGGAGAGGAGGCATTCAACAAAGGGATTACTCCCTACCTTGAAACCCACCGCAAGAACTGTGATCAACAGTGAGATATAGGAGCCAACTTTCAGCAGGCCAGGCTTGCCAAACTGCCTCACAGGGGGAAAAAAAAAAAAAAAGGAACACTGGCTTTGGAAACAGCTTTGAGAGGAAAAAAAATCGCTTCTCACTTAAGTAAACCTGAATATATTCAATACTTGGTATGTTGGCTAAATGGCTTCTAGAGCTGTTTTAGGAAAATTCTGACAGAAACAGCACAGAAATTGCAAAGCTCTGACTTGTGCTGGCACATTGGCTGAGACCCCCTCACTTACTTAGCCTGTGGGCTTTCTGCTTGGAGATTAACCAGAACCACCTCATTCCAGGTCACACTTTCCTGTTTCAAAGAGGGTGTGGAGCTGTGAGCTAATGTGCTTTGCGGGATGCCTTCCTGTTTGGTTTTCCATTCCTATTTCAATATGATCTAAGATATTTTACTATTTCCAGTGTGAGCTCTCCCCAGTCCTTACAAGGTAGTTATATAAACTTACATGAGCAGTGACCCTCATAGGTGTTGGCTTCTGGTCAGTTGTGTGACCTTAGGCAAATTATTGATTTTCCTTGGCTGTCAGTTGAGAAGATGGGTAAGAAAGTCCCCGTTGTTATGAAAATTAGCTATTGGGAATATATGTAAGCTAACCAATTAAGGTGAATTACTGGATGATATGTACATACTCACTAACAGACAGTCACCTTCTCAGGTCCTATAGCAGATTCACAGTTCAGACTCTAACACACCATACTCAGTGCTTCCCGCATGCCAAGCGCATCTTCTTTTCTTTTTTAAAAAAGATTTATTTATTCCAGAAGATCTCAAGATAGATGGTTATGAGCCGCCATGTGGTTGACTGGGAATTGAACTCAGCACCTTCGGAAGAACAGGCAGTGTTCTTAACCTCTGAGCCATCTCTCCAGCCCAGCCCCGTCTAAGGACCTACTAAAGCAGGGGCTATGATCATCTCTGTTTTACATAGGAGGACACGGAGGCAGAGAGAAGTAAGAACTTTGCACAATGTCACTTCCGTGTAAGTAAGGGTCAAGCCATGAAGTAGGATGATTCTGTATATCTATGATATGTAAATTGTGTAGGAAGACTCAGTGCAGAGTGAAGGACAGACATCTCCAGGGTGTTTAGCATTGGTCTCTTTGTGTGAGTAATAACACTAGATGCAGAAGATATCAGATAAAAGGTTTTCCAAGTGTTTTCTTGCTAATGCTTTTAACCAAGGTAACAGAGAAATACAAAATGTTTGAGTCTAAAATGAACTAGAATGAACTCCCAGTGAGTGTGCTGAGACCCCATTACCTGTGGACTCCACTCGGAGAACGCAAGCATAACTTCTGAAGTGCTACTTACGCTCTAGTTCTTTCTACCAAAATAACCACTTCTCATGGAATCTTGTGTCATGCGTCATGGTTTAGTGGAGACTTTCTCTAGCATGCACATATGAATGTTGAAAGCCCACTCCTCTTAATTTGCAGGCACACACAAAATCTCCCATGTAATGTATTTTAACTCATATATATTTTATGACCTTTACTGGAGACTCAGATAAAGGAAT